ACCCCTGCTTTATTCCTTTGCATAGAGACTGGCCTATTTGCCCTGTACAGAATGCAAATGAACACTGTTGACAGAAAATGGGCACATATCATCTTGGAAGACAAGCAAGTAATTGTGGGTGGTATTATTAGTTCCTGTGGCCAAGAGCCAGTATGGTGTAATGGCTTGGACCTTGGACTACAACTGGAGACCAGGGTTCAAATCCCTGCTTGGCCAAATATTAACCTATCTCCTATTCTGACCTGACTTCCATACATACCTTAACCTACAGCAGCCACATTGAGTGATGGAGGTCTGTTCTGCTGGTGGTTGGGGTGCATCAGTATGATGTTTCCAAATCACTCCCACTAGCAATCCCTGGTGCACTGAAACATTTCATCAGGGATCCTGCTCCTGATTGTTGCATATAGATTGCTGGGGGCTGGAACATCATACTGATGTGCCCGAGGGCACCATTTAAAAAAAAAAATCATCACTCATTTTTAATTGGCAGTGATCTTGACACATGATGTTCTGACCAATTTGTGGTGGCTGAAGAGCTTTGCAGCACCTGAAAGCTCTAATCCACAGAACAAAGAATCTTGATTTTCTCTGGAATTTCCAGGAAAATTTGGATGAGTGGATGCATGACCACAGGATTTGCATTGGTGATGTAGGGATGAATTTGTGGTGGGTGGCATGAGACAGACTATAAGGGACCAGCAGTCACATTATCTTTCTCGCCAGAAAATGACAATTCTAAAGAAAATCCAGAAAGTTCAAGTGGCTTGATTGCCATTTTTTAAAGGTGCTGCATGTGTGTGCATAACTGGATATAGTACTTCTGCTTGATTTATATTTATACCTTTATCTGTATCATAAACTATCATCAGAGTACGGGCATGGTATCTAAGGAACTTTGTCTCTCATTTTAGAGTACTTCTCCATTGTGCCTGTCATCTTATGCTGTAACATGTCCACCATATAATGAGCTGCAATAGTGGCTTGGAGAAGGCTAATATTGCCATGCAACACTCTGAAACACCCTCCATCACCATTAGTCCACAATGGTCTGTGTCTAAAGGCAACAATGACCAGGCAGCACAACAGTGGATTACACTTGTGTATGAGCTAATATATCACAAGGTTCCTGCTGATACTAGAGTATGGGAGTGTATGGAAAAAATCACGTTGCCAAGGTTCCTGGCTGCACCAAGCCAGCTAATAGGAGTGTGACAATGAAAGCAGAAATGCATATATTCTCATCCTTGATGGATGGGGGCAGGGGAATAAAGCATAGTGGCCACAGACATTTAGCCAAAAATGATTTGGGGACACTGGCTTGTAAGCCGCCAATTTACAACAAGGCAACTTCAGAATTGGGGAATATGTGGCTGCATAGGCTGAGTTGCCCATGATTTACCTCAATGTCTGTAGTAATAGTGTAGACAAACCCAGTATCACTGTGAATCTGGAAAACACAGGGCCCACACACATTTTATGGTTAAGTGTAGACAAGCCCTCAGTTGCCAGCAGAAAAGGCCACTCTTGTTCAATGCGGCTGCTGCTGGCTGTTAGGTTGGGTTTAGGAGGGCATCTGTGATTGTGGCAATAGTGCTATGATCATACATATGGAGCATGGCTGAATAAGAAGTTATGAGCTAGTGTGGTGTAGTGGTTTGTGTATTGGACTAGGACTCTGGAAGAGCTGGGTTCAAATCCCTGCTTAGCCAAGTCACACTTTCTCAGCCTCAGAGGAGGGCAATGGCAAACTCCCTCTGAACTAATCCTGCCAAGAAAACCCTGTGATAGGTTAGCCTTAGGGTTTCCATAATTCAGAAATGATTTGAAAGCACACAACAGCAACAACACCTCTCTAGGAATCTCTAGGTCAGGGGCCAGCAACCTACGGCCCGCGGGCCGGTTCCGGCCCAGGGTACCGTGCTTACCACCCCCCGCGTACCCCTGCTGTCGCTGCCACTGCCTGCCACCGCCGCCACGTGAGTTGGTCGCCACGCAGCAGCGCGTGTTGCGACCGCCATTTTGGAAAACAAAATGGCGGCTGCGAGTGGCGGCCGCCATTTTGTTCTCCAAAATGGCGGCCGCAACTCATTTGCACATGCGCAGTACTCCTGCACAAATGCATCACAGCCGCCATTTTGAAGAACAAAATGGCGGCCGCGATATGTGCGGCAGCAGCGGTGGCAGCGGTGGGGGTTGTGCGCGCGCATGTGAGTGTGCACGTCGCCATTCCCCCCCGACCCGCCAGAAGGGACGATTTCGGGGGACTGGCCCCCGGCTCAAAAAAGTTGCCTACCCCTGCTCTAGGTTCTCCGGTGCAACATTGCAGACATTGACCATAGAATTGTGCTGGAGGAGCTACAAATACCTAGTGGAGTGTTTTCTCTAGGAATCCCTAGGTCCTTCAATGTGACTTTTGGTTAATGTTGACCATAGAGTTGCACTGGAGGACCTACCGGTAGATATTCCTAGAGAGAACATATTAATAAAATCCATGAATAATCAAATCTGTAAAAGACAAAACCACAAATATGGAGGGACGAGTGTAGATGATTTGAAGGACTGCATCCATTCACTTTTACTTGCCTCTGCTTTAAGATCAGACTGAGAGGCTCTTCTCATTGGTCCAGCATTAAAATCAGTTAGAGTGGCAGGCACAGTGGACAGGAATTTCTGAGTAGTTGTACCTTTCTTCAGAAACACTCTCCCAAGGGATGTGTATCTGTGTGTCTGACCCCTTCAGTGACAGTACCTGAAAAGACCTTCGAAACTCTACCTATATTTTTAATAGGTGTATTTATTTGGCTATGCTCTGCTTTATTGATGTTTTGTCTACTAGTTGAGTTCTGTTTATATTATTTTTCATTCTCTGAGCTTTAAAGTTTTATTATACTGTTATATTCTTCTTTTAATTTTTATTTTGTTTGTCATCTTGGTTGAACTTGACCTGGAGACAGACTGCATACTGGTATTTAAACCAACGAATTAAAATGCTCCTTTGGGACAAGTCAAAAGGCAGGTAACCAGGTACATGCTCTTAGCTCTTAATATGATGGAGGATGTATAGTGCTGCAGTGCTCTGTATCTTCCTTAATGACCACACCGTTTGTTATAATATGCAAAATAATCCTTTATTGAAATGGAATGTATTCCCATTAATGCGATACAGGAATATACTTGCTTTTGCAAGTCCAACAGTGGTTTGGATGGTAGAGATTAACAGTAAACAAGTTCAGACAAATTTGTGCTGCTGATGACATACGTGGGAATTTACAGTATGACAAGTGAGAGGCACAGCTGACAGAAAGGGTGTGCACTCCAGTCATATTTTCCACTTGAAAGGGTAGAGAGAGGGCAGGTAATATCAATCCCGTAGTTTCTATTAACTAGCTTTCTGGTGCAGTGTCACTTAGCTGATTAAAGGTTAAAGGCAGTAGCGTCATTGGGTGGGTGCGGGGGGTGGTGGTTTCAGACTGCACTGGGTGACATCCTAGAAGGGGGGTGACACCCAGCTGGTCCCCTGCCCCTGTGGGGCCTCCCCACGGCCATGGGCCTGCTTCCTGGGGCTACACGGGGCTTCTGTACCCCTCCCTGACCTTTCCCTGGGGTGCACGGGGCTTCTACGGCCATGTGCTTGCGCTCCCACACACACTGGAAGTGCGCTGGAAGTTGTACACTGGACGCCCTGCTCCCATAAGTCCCATCCCCCCCATCAGTGACCACGCTGGGTGACACCAACCCTAGGGATGCTACTAGTTAAAGGTATAATTGTTATATGGATTTTGGATGTTATTGTACTTAACTGAAAAACCAATCGCAAGAGAATGATTGATATCATTCGCAGGGGGCCTGATCTATTTCTTTTCCCTAAGCAAAGTCTTGATTTTGGTGGGAGAGTGACATGTGATTAATCCTGGCCGTCTGAAATAAATAGGCCTAAAGGTTAATGTTGGTTGGATTATACCCTGTGATCTTTTATTTAAAAAATTTGGCAGCTTACGGGACTAAAGGTGGAGTTTTATTTGTTTTGTTTTTATTGCCTGCTTGTTCTTTGCCTTTCAAGATGTCTCTAATGCAGCGAGGTACACCGTAAACCAATCACCACTGCCACTATTCTCCAAGTGTACTTATTAAATAAGTTATTGGTACACTACCTGCTTTCCACTATGTATACAGATTGGTACCACATGGCAAAATTATTCTTACTTTTTATACACCAAATTATCCTTACTTTTGAGATTTTCCTACGATTTGTTATGTTGTTTATTCTCCTTCTGGACACATTTTAATGTCTGGCATATAATGACTTTTAGATATTTTACTTACATTTTAGAAATACGGGAGTGAGATGTGTGCATATTTATCATATCTAATTGCTAACCTGAACAGCTAAAGAAGGCAGAACTAAAATACTCTTAGTACTCAAATATTTACTTTTTGGATGTTACAGATATTTGTCACTCTAAAAAATATCTGTAACATCTAGACTCAAATATGGTCATGTTGGTTTTGTAATTTCCAAATTAATATTATGAAAATTATGTTTCACTGGCCATGAGATTCCATAAGATTTCAATTCAATGACCATTTAATATAGCTACTGTTATGAGCCCTACTGTTCATTGTACTGTATACCTATTTATCTATACCAAGTATGTCCCAGATTGGATGATATCTGCATTTGTTAATAACATAACCAACAAACAACACCATAGGTTTGCACAGCAAGCTCTTCTATAAGGATAGTTTTATTAGAGAAGTGGAGTTTAGACCCAAACAATGGATGGTAGCAGTAACCAAGCAAGATAATGCAGATGGTTTTGTTTGGACTTAGATAATGTTAAGCATCCCAAGGATCTTTGAGAGGATGTTTCTTTAGAGGGGGAAAAACCCCCAAGAATGTGAGCTGCAAGACAAACTGGTGGGCTCTTGGTCTTTAGGTCTGGATGTCTGACACCTACTGATAAAGATTCCAGGTGGTTTGTTGCAGCCTGTAATGTGAACATTCATCTGCCTGATAGGGTGAAAAACAAACTGAATTTTGTACTCAGGGAGCCAGCAATAAAAGTTGGAAGGACAATAAACCTATACTTGTGTCCCTCTTGGCAACAGAACTGGGGACTGGGTTGTTTACACATATGCATGCACAAACATACACATAGAGAGGAGTGCCATGGTACAATGTTAATGAAAAGGAAAGAGTAGTGATGGTTATC